CAGCCCTAATCTAGCCAGACAGTCACATCATGATTACTAATGGTAAAATATTCTATCATCACATAGTCTGATGCTTGTGCTGCATCGTAAGACCCAATGCTGTGCCATGAAAAAAATACCAAGAGTACATCAACATTGTGGAAATAGTGTTAAGATGAGTTTAAATTGGTTTAGATATTGTATTTCATTTTATTTATTAAGGCTTTCTTATTTGTGAGTACTGAATCCACTTGATTTTTCCAGAAAAAGTAAAAATCAGAAATTTGTTGTGATGAGAAAAATTATCCAAAACTTAGAAATAAATAAAAGATAAATGTAGGCCATTTCAGAGTCATATTAGACCACTGTATTAACAAGCCTGTCTAAGGGTTATCTGACATAGCAGGGGAGGGTTATGTTGTTTGACTTACCATTTACTATTAATTAATATTTAGATCCTAAAGGATATTAACTTGTACAAGATTGAAACGTTGCAATTATTTTTGCTAGGATAAAAGATAATCCCCAAAGCTATGGTATTACTGTCCTGTAGGACATTAATCAGGTTTGTGTCTAATTTTGCAGTCTTATTCCAGCATTCTTTTTTCCACTATCTGTATATCGGTTTCTTGCATCTCCTTTAAACTTGTCTTGTCTAGCTGCTGATCCCTCATTAATGACTTAAGTAAATCTTTGACAAGTATTCACTATGCTTTTAGAAGAATTATGTTTTTAAATTTTTTAAGATTATCCTTTGAAGGTTGGTTTTATTCCAGAGATGTTTTATGTAAAATGTGGTTTTTACTTTTGCTTCTCTGAGAAAATACATTCTGAGATTCAGTTTTATACATAATATTTTTGAAATGATTTTTCAATTTTTTTAACATATGATAACTTAGATTCTTAAAAACTTAAGGTAGAAATATTCATAGTTTTAGACTTTGAACCATGAACCTTAGGAAAATGCCATACTTTTTGGCATGGTGTACAATTGGTATGGTTTATTTTTGTTCTGACAGGGCGTCCCTGGTAGAAGATTAATTCCGTCTGGCTCTTCCCTAAATTCTGCATCCTTTTTTTTATACATACTGAACATAGCTTAGTTTAATTTTACTTTGAATAGAACCAATGATTTGATGATAACTATAAATAAGTTATTAATTTAATTTAATTGGTTTTTTATTTGCTTGATTTTCTTATAACTGTTGTTGACATTTTTTTTTTTTTTTTTCTTCCTTGAGATGAAGTCTCAATCTGTCACCCAGGCTGGAGTGCAGTGGCACAATCTCGGCTCACTGCAACCTTTGCCTCCCAGGTATAAGCAATTCTCCTGCCTCAGCCTCCCAAGTAGCCGGGATTACAGGCACCTACTACCACGCCCA